CATGTCAGGCTCGCGTCATGATTGACGTAAATAAAGTAAATGTGGGAGCACACAAAGACGAATCGACTTTGCTTACTATTATAGTATTCACATCGAATTTGCAATTTGGTAAGGAATATCTCCATTTAATGAGCGCCCCTACGACATGTAATACGTTTACTATTACGTCATGATCTCTCTATATCATAGCAACCGGTATACTTATGGTGGTTGGCATTGCACTTGGGACTATATTGATCATTACGATAGCCTGGCTGACCTCCAAGGCATGGAAGCGCTACTCATCCAAAAAACAGCGAGGCTACGAGAGGACATACCTGACAGATTTTGAAGATCAGGGCTTACAACTTGATTGGAACGTCGGAAACCCGCAAGAGACACCATGTCGTAATACAAACTCTCCTTCATACGACAGCTATCCTGGACACGACTCGAAGATGAGCGTCAAATCAAGAGACCGACCTTGGTCTTATATTTACGGGTACAGCGATGACAATCGTAACGAGCAGCACGTACGAGTTACGCTCGAACCTATGCAACGTCCGTCTAAATACGAGCGATTTCTTGAAAATAACGGAATTAAAATGCAGTTACAAAAGGTACTTGCGATTGATTGTGTTTGCCGCGTTTCTATGAATTGCGCCCTCTATCGTCAAATACTAGTGTGACGTTTCGAAACATGTTCACAGTGTCGATATTGTCTTTATCGGTGACCGCCTGTCATTAAAAACAAGATTATTTATAAAGATTTACTTTATTCAAAATAACGAACGCCAACACGACTATACAGAGAATCTATTTAAATGACAGTGCCAGCTGTTTACTTACTTTGTCGTTAACCAAGCATTTTGTCGCTAGAGGGCGCAACGTATGGAAAAGTTTATTGCATGTCGTTATAATATTTATCTCGCTACGCAGTTATATCACGCCAAACGTTTAACGGTTATTACTTATAATGACACCCAGACACTCATGATATTGTCAATTATATTTCCGTTTTTTAGACTTCGTCAGTGGATAACTATATGCCAAAGGTACAGCAAGTTGTCTCTTCTAGCTTGGCAACGCACCCCAGGGACCTGAATGGAGGTACCACAGATGTCATTGTCTGATTTATCTTCACAGACATTGTCAAGTTACCGAGTTGCAGAGGACGCTATCACTATTAGTTAATGTGAATACAGATTGTGAAGAGCTTTGCTATATCAAAGTTTGTGTATCTTATGAGAATGGTCTCTGTACCAAAGAAAGTTTTACTTGAGGTAAATAGAAAGTGTTTCAATTTTATTTGGCAAGGTCATGACCGGGTGGCCCGCAATGTTATGATTGCAGACATAGGAGAAGGTGGCTTGAAAGCCCCTGATATCTTTACAATGTACGATACATTT